AATTTTGCGTTAACTGCGTTAAATTATTTTAACGCGTTAAGGATTGTAAAATGAATCGTATGCGTTAACGCGTTAACGTTGACAGCCCTAATGTATATATATATATATATATATATAGTGATTAATTCATCAGCATATGTAATTCATTTGATTGACTAGTTTCTTCTTTCCCAGCATATTAAATTGTGATTATTTAGTCACTGCATTCTTTTATGGTAACATGGTAGACTATACATTATCCTTTACTTAAAAAAAGTAATCATTTACTCACCATCATGTCAGTTTTTCTAGTACTATTTCATTTATAAAATAAAATTTTTTTTTTTTTTATCCTGTGACCATCAGTCAAGGACAAAACAGCAGGGGTCTCAATATCAAGTATCATCTTATCTGAATAAATAGATATCTAGTTATTAAAATAAATGCATATTCCATTTGAGCACTTGCTTATTGTCTTCCAGGTGGTGATTATGTACTTCCAGCCGAGTGTTTTCCGCTGTATCCTGCTGCGATGGGTTCGTCTGCTCGGATTTGCCACAGTTTATGGAACGGTCACCCTCAAACTCTACAGGTACAATTTTTTTATTACATTATAAAAGATGAGTCACTCTTCCAGATACCTGTAGAACTTACAGTGTTGTTATTTTGGTCACAGTCTTAGTGATTATTAATTATTTTGATTGATAAAAATCTTAATCCTAGGATTGTCTAGAATGAGATATTGAGAATGGCTTATGTGAGCGGAGAATGACACATTGCAATCCGTGATAGTTTTGAGATTGATGCCTCTGAGAAATAGATATGCTGCTCCAGACAAACAAACACACAGAGATACACACACAGACAGACACACACACAGACACACACACAAATGTACACAGCAACTTAAAATTTTGGACACAGTGTTGTATAACACAATTGTTCATTTTAAATTAGTTTCTGTTTGGAATAATAACATATTCTTATAAACTTAGTATTAAAACAAGATATTTTTTTTCCCCAAAATACATTTTTAACTGGACTCTAAAATGATTTTCTAATTTTCTATATCAAGTAGTTTTTTTTTTCTTCATATTTTTAAATATTCTGAACCTCCAGGACTTTGTATATCATTGTAAAAAAGAGGAACCTTCAGTTGTACTGAATGTGTGCTTGTAGTGTACTTCAAATCAAAAAGGTATGTTTAAAAAAAAATAAAAATTAGTCTTGAATTTGATTTTAGTCATGAAATAGACCTACATACACACTACACTTTAGCTTTGTTATCCCTATTACATTTCATATTCAAACAGACTATTATTCAATTTAGACTTTGGATGCTAAAAGAAGGTCAGCATATCTAGAGCGGCTCTCTAATGCACCTTTTTACTCTTATGTGGACTTCATTTCCTGTGAGACCTTGCAGCATTAGCCTCTCCTGATTTAGCTGCCGTGAAACCCTTTTAAGCACAGTTAAAGTTTGTATTATCTCTAATTTCCAATTAAAGTAAGCGTCCTATAAAGTGTCAGAGCTGTATGTTCCAGAGCTAGTTCATCAGGGGTAAAGTAAGTTTTTAAAATGATTCACTACATTGTTAAGCTACGCGCTAAAATGCCTGCTTAAAATCATTGTGGGAAAACAAAGAACAGGAGGTACTTAGACCAAAATGGCCACAATGTATTACATTTTATTGAATGGTTTGGACAACAAAATCTGGTCTCCAGAAGAATAGGATGAAGGAGAATCTTGCACAGAGCGTGCACAGAAGAAAATGTGGGCTTGATGGTATGATATATGCTGAAAATGTCAAAAAGACTTAATGGAATTCGTAATTAAGGCAACAGAAATGAATGAATTCTCTTCAGATCTGGAAAGAAATGGGATGATACTTCAGTGGGGTGAAAATTAACACATTGCTTAGATCTTTTTTTTTTACTATACACTCATTAAAGGGCTACACTTTATCAATGTGACATAAAGACAAATGGTGATAATGAAGAGACTCTGCACGCTATGGCCATTTATAAGTTTGTTTGATGACCAAAAATTGGTCCACATCCAAAGAGAAGAATGTATATATTAGTATGTCTAATGAAATCAAAATGGACCTTTATTTCTTAATGCACATTCATGTGCAATTCGTCAGTTTTTTAATACTTTAACAAAATATTCTAATAAAAAATGTAATCACTTGCCCGCTTTTTTTCTGATCCAATCACACATCAGTTCCAATATGGAAATGATAATGATACAACGGTTGTTGTCACTGTTTTCCAGGGTTCTCAAGGTGTTCCTGTCACGTACAGCCCAACGGATTCCATACATGACCAGCTGGAGAGTGTTGCGTCTACTGTGTGTCATCCTGCTGATTGTGTTATGGTTCGCAATAGCCTGGACCGCCGCTGTTTGTCAGAATCCAAACAGACATCTCGCGCTCATCAATGTGGGCCTCACCACTGATCGGCTACAGTTCAGCATGTGTCTGCTGGACCGCTGGGACTACATGATTGCTGTGGGTGAGTGAACATGTTACCTAGGAGCTTTTTGTATGAGTTTTTGGCATTTTAATGAGCACAGGCTGTAATAAATTACTATTGGAATCAAACAGTCCGGATGAAATGCTTCCAAATATGGACACCTATTTAATGAAACAAAGTACAGAGAATCTCATCAAGGCACTGTTTAAAGGAATAATTGACACAAAAATTTAACTTATGGGTCATTCACTCACCTTCCTGCCATTCTAAACCCATATGACTTTATTTCCTCAATGGAACACAAAAAGCAGTATTTAGCAGAATGTTCCCACTGCTCTTTTCCATATAATGAAAGTGAATGTATATTAAAATCAAGCCCCAAAAATTGCAAGAAGGCACCATAAATGTAGTCCAAAAAACTAATGTAATATATTCCAATTTTTCTGCACCCACTTTTTACTTTTTCACTTTTTCTATGAACGACTCACTTCTTATTAAAAATTGCACACCCCTTGTGAAAAAGAAGTTCGTTTAAGTGTATTGAATGTGCACTTGCAGTGTACTTCAAATCTTAACTGTACATTTAAAAAAAAATGTGCTTGCAGATAATATGAATTATGAAATAAAAGACCAATAAAGTGTACTTAAAGAGGATACACTTTTATTGTACTTTGAAGAAGTGTGTTATTCAATATTACATTTAAAGTTAATATATTTTAAATGAACAAAATCATTACTTCATTACAAATGTGTAATTACAAATATATTTAAATACATGACATACAACCACACCTGTATTTAAGTGTTAACATGTAGTGCTGTCAATCGAGAAGAAAAAAAATAAAATAAAAACTAATCACACATTTTTTCTGAAATGAATACTGATTAATTGCAGGACAGTTTTGAAAACCACTGCATTTCAGAAAATAGTTGTTAAATGTGACTCATGTATAACAAATACTTACATACATGCCCAGTTTTAAGGCAGCGTTAATCTCCATTTTGGTAACTCCATGACTTAACTGACGACATAACTACAACATTGCATGCTCGTATTTTAATTTGCGATTTAATATGAAATTATACAGCACACGCCACTGTATTTGTACTGTCCTACGTACACAGTATAATGGCTGACAGGACAGGAAAATTAGTTTTTACTGACATATGGCCTGAAAACATCTCACCTGGCCGCAGTTCACTGTTATTTTACTGAAGCTTCCTCATCTAGCGCCTGGTGCTGAGGTGAAGTTGGAGTGCGCATCTGAAAAGACTCCTGTTTAATGTGGACATAAAGACATTCTGGGTCTAAATAAACTCAATTCTTGTCAGGAAAAAAAGAGACAGAAGCAGCATTTGTGAGTGGGATGGCCAACCCTAGCTGCGTTAATTGCGTTAAATATTTTTCACAGAAGATAAAGAGTGTGTAGACACTGAAGAAGATCCAGAACAAGGACTGTTCCTGCAAACGCTGTTCATAGTTCTGAAGAACCACAACGCCAAGGGTGAGGCCCACTGCCACACCCCCCAGATGGGCCACAAAGCTGGGATTAGGGCATGGTGGGAAGGCTGGGGGATAGAACCGAAGCCAGACGGCACGACCAAACTCCACACTCACTGTAGATACAGAAAGCAATGTGAGGGTTTACATATTACACATTTCATTTAAAAACAGCAAATCTTAAATGCAGAAAACTTAAGTGCACTAAGTCATTTTTTTATGTTTCTTGGACTTATCCAGCTTATTCTTCCCGTAAAAATGGGCGTGGCCATTTGTAAATTCTATGGGTCTGGCTTCCGGTCTCATCCGTGTCCAGCTATTTTTAGCTGTACAGAACCGCTCATTTTGCTGTTTGATATTGAAAATTGGTGTGTCTTACCATATTATTTGAATGTGTTGTCTTAATTACGAACACACTGGTTTATAATGCAAACAGTTTTACCGTTTACTGCACGTTGTTATTTTTCTCGGTATTTCCCTATAGCGGCTAATGAACCAGAAGTCTTGCCCATACGCATACTTCCGCGTTGAAGAAAAAGGTGGATAAGTATTCTAAAGTGTACAGCTCTTTTATGTTGCTATTCAAAGGAAGTCTGTCACTTGCAAAATCTGTAATAAGCTTCTTCTTTTTTTTCTTTTTTTTAACTGTGCTCAAATAAATAACATATCCATAACAAGGTACATTTTACAGACCGAGAACTGATCAGAGAAAAACACATGTTTTTGAAGGAGAGAAGTGAGGATGCTTTCTTGATGAATTTCTTGAGGAAGAGCATTCCACAACCTGGGAGCCACAACACTGAAAGACCTGGCTCCCATAGTCACCAGACTAAACTTAGGGGTGACTAACAATCCCACACTAGAAGATCTGTAAGGAGCGAACAGGAGCATAAGGCTGAAGTAAATCAGATAAATATGTAGGACCAAGGTTATGGAGAGCTTTGTAAGTGAGAATTAGTTTATACGCATGGAAACAGGAAGCCAATGAAGGTGGTAGAGGATTGGAGTAATGTGATCGTTCTTGTGTGAGTGATCAAGCGGGCTGCAGAGTTTCGAACATATTGTAATCATTTGATATTTTTAACTGAAAGGCCATAAAGAAGTGAGTTAAAGTAATCTAGTTGAGATGTAGAGAGAGGATCGAATACGAGATATATTACGTGGGTGGAAAAAAAGCTGTCTTTACCAGTTTACCAATGTGATCATTTAATGAAAGTGTGGAATCAATAAGAACACCAAGATTTTGAACTGTTGTGGAGGGCATTATCAAATCACCATCCAAATCTATCAGTTGACTGGATAGTTTAGATACAACAGCTTTAGAGTTAATCAGTATTATCTACATCTTACCTGAGTTAAATTTAATGTAATTTGCCTCCAGTCAAAGCTTGAGTTCCCTGATGCAAGTTGCTAATGTAGGCAGAGGAAACACTGAGGTGGAAGGTGTGCTAAAATAAATCTGAATGTCATCAGCATAACAGTGGAAGTTAA